GTAATTTTTTAGCTCCCTTAACATTTCCAAAATAATAAACGGAGTCTTAGGGTGTGTTTGGGTGACACCCCAAACCATGGTTTGGGGACCCAAATCATGGTTTGGGGTGTCAATCACCCAAACACCCCCTCTAAAAACCAAAACCATGGTTTTGGGTCAAAACCATGGTTTTGACTCCAAAACCATGGTTTTGGAAAAAGCAAAATTTTTTTGCTTTTGGAGAAAAAAGGGAGAGTGTGAGAGCCTATATGATATATATCTTGTTATTTTTTTAATAAACATATTTTTTGATAAACATATTTAATCTTATATTTTATAAATATATATACACATTAATTATTTATTAATTATATTATCTTATGTATTATTAATTATGTTGGTAAAAATATATTATTAACAATTTTATTCCTTCAAATTAAAATATATCATAAAATCTATTTTTTCTGTAATTATCATATTAACTTATGTCTTTGTTTTAGTAATTTGTATATATAAAAAGTGCTTCTGATAACAACTATCCAAACACTCTCACTTTTCAGAATCACTTTTTTACAAAATCTATTCTTCACAGAATCTATTCTCCCCAGAATCTATTCTCCAGAATCACTTTTTCAAACCACGGTTTGGTTTCATCCAAACACACCCTTATATTACAACAACAATAAGCCTTATCCTACTAGATGAGGTCGGCTTTATGAACCACACGACGCCATCATGTTCTGTCAACAACCCAGTCCTTAGATATGTTGTTGACTAGGAGGTTTCGTTCAATGACCTCATTAAATGTTCTTCTTGGTCTTCCTCTGTTCTTTTTTATGGGACTCCATCTTGTCTGATCCACCCTCCTCACCAGGGCCTCCAATGGGCTTTTCTGCACATGTCCAAACCATCTTAAAAACGGAGTCTTATATTAAAGATGAAAAAAAATATAAAGATAAATGTCTTATTTTGAGCGTGGGTATGATAACAGTACAATAAATATCATACAATACTTATTCAACAAAAAATAGCTTTAAATATCGTTAAAGGGTTTCAACAATTTATTAGTACCAACAAAACTAATTTTGATTTGGTATTGATCTATTTATCTATCCTTCTGTAGGTGTGCGCCTGTGCAGGATATTCACCAATATTTTATTTTAATTCTTTGACTTTTATGAAGTATCTTTTTCAGTCCTCTAATGCTAATTTTATTAATAAAAATACCAATATTAAAATTTTAAATGCGAACAAAGTATTCATAAATACTAATATATTAAGTTTGATTTTTTAAAATAATAATATATTGCACAAAAATATCATTTGGAACTAACAATGCTAAGGTGAGAGGATTGAAAAAACACCTCATAAGATTAAGAGACACCATTAAAACTTTTTATAATTGATCCTTTTATGCCATAAGTAGTATGGACTTGGGGCGTGTATATTTGCCGACTGGTGGGGGAATTTTATAAAACGAACAATATGATGCTTTAAAACAATGCAATGAACCTGGGCATGAATTATACATATTGAAGCAGAGACATTATTATGAAGATTAAATGTATGAGGGGATAAAAGAATATAATAATGCCTACGTTCATGAACTTTCTGACTCAGAATTTTACTTCCTTTCCTATCCTTTCACCAACGTTCATCCCTTTCTCTTCCTTTAGAATTTAGATTCATGTCACTGCTTTAAAAAACATTGAAATTAATTAAATTCTTACAGTCTCCTGCATTGTATATGAAAAAAGAGACAAATATGATATTCTATCCCGACCTCATTAGAAAAAACGTCTCACATATAGGTGGAAAAATATGTAATTGGAGAACTTGATATTGTAGTTATAATAAACTTGATCTAATTTTTTTTTAAACAAACAATCATTTGATGAGAAAAAAGACAAAAATAATCATTTCACAAGACATAAAAATATAGTTAGGATTAAAAAATATGTTTCAAATTTATTTTAAAGAATAAGGTAAAAAAAATATTACTGATTCAAACTTAATCACGCTAACTTAATGAAGCCTAAAGATTTTAAAAATACAAGGAACAATGAGTAATTGCCAAAGAGAAAAAAACTCTTTTTTTTTTTTGTAAAGAAAGGAGTAATTTGAAGGAATGCCAAGTGAAAAAGAATGGTCTACATGAAAATAGAAAATTAAATTATTCCTTTTTTCTAATAGTAGATAAATTACACTTAAAGAAAATCTATACTTTCCAAAAGTTGTTATTTCGCGTAAGTTCCTAATAAACCCAAAACTAATTTTTCTTTTTTTTTCCCCTTGACTTTAAGAATATAATTTTCTACACCATGTGCATATATATAATCAAATTATTAAAAAATGTTTTCTGGTGTATATCTTTTCTTATAGTTTGCTGCTTTCTGTTTTTGCCATATTTAAAAATTAATACATCGAATCCTCTTTTCCGATGTCCAAGTTCAATGTTTATGTGTAAAATTAATTTGCGTATGCTGAATGTCAAATTCATGTATCTGTATTGTTAAATTTCATCTGGGCAATATAATGCTTATGCATAAATTCAGGACAATAAATCTCATTTATTTGAATGATTTAAAAGAAAATTAAAATATATAATGATATTGAGGTAATTAATATAAAAGAAAGTTCAGAGAGCTGCGTATTAAATGATTTAAATAACCTTATGACTATCATTAATGATATCTTATTTTTCTTCCACATTCATGAATCCAAATAGTTATTAATTACAAGGGCATTCTTAAATCATATGTACCAAATACATGAAGGATTCTTTAATTTTGGGAAATGTACGTCATAATATTAGTATAAATATAGATACAATGTAAACCATGTTTTGTATTAAATGAATGAGAAATATTGTCCCCAATTTTTCATGCCTTCCTAAAATTTTCACTTGCCCTTGTCAAGTGGTATATATTTTCACTAGATTTATAACATAATCACCAGTTCTTTAATTAAAGAAGCGAGACGTATTATATAGATAAGTACAATAGTACCTCTGATTCTAAATATAATACTACTTCAGATATTTAATATAAAAACTAATTTGACTTTTAATTTGATCCTAAATATGAAAATCCAATCCACTTTGTCTCTCATAATTATTCATTTTTTTCTAAAGTAATCACTAGTAATTCAACACAAACTAAGCCTAGGAAGTCAAGGAGTAGCTTAGGCCTCCGAGCCTTCCTTGACAAACCTTCATAAGGACTTTTCTTGGAAAAATGTTAAAGCAACGGAATGAGACAAACGTCTCAGTAACCAACAGTCCAACACATTATACATGCTAATAGGTAGTCATGAGGTGTCAAGTGGAACATTTAAAATATCAAGGCGTAAAAAAATATTTCATATAATCCATGTCACATAGAATCCCAATTTCATATAATTGAGGTTTATTGACCCAAAATATTTAATTCTAGAGTTATTGAAGATTATTGCGGTAGAAAATTTTGACCGGAAAAAAAACAAAGAGATGGAAAATAAATTATATATCAGCAGAATTTCATTCTCTGAACTAATGTTTTCACTAAACAAATAAAAAAAATATTTATAAACAAAATGGTCTCAAAAAATCAATAAAAAATTTAAAATGTATAGTTAGACAAACATTGTGATTTCTCTTGATTTCTTGTCATTTCTTTTTATTTGTTCAATGATTCTTCTCCGCGAATTTTCTTTATTTCTTCAATACTTTTCTACACGATGTAGCATGATTTAAATTAAATATCAGAAAAAATAAGTTCAATCTTTTAAAAGATTTTAAACTATTTAGTATATACATCTAATTATTTCAAAAAAATGGAGAAGATATTTTTTCAATAAATCAAATACCTCCTTAGTTTCCTATTGTTATTTAATTATTAAAATTATTTTAGCATCTTAACACTAGGAAGTGATATCAGCTCACATGTCATTGAGACTTTTTTATAATTATTTTGCTTGGAACTCTCCCAATTTACATTATTTTCATGTAATACCGTATCTAATTATATATAAACATTTTAAATTTGTCAATTACCTAAATTATTAATTTTTGAGATTGGACTTCCCAAATGACAAACCCAAAGTAAGAATGCATCGTTATGGTTCCTTATAATTTGGGCTTAAGCCCACGTCTTATGACTCACCGAAAAAGACCCAGTTTTGTCCTTTTGGAATTCGCACTGCTCCCAAAACGTGACGAATAAGTTTCAAATCTTCACTTTACTTACATTTAGTGTTAAATGACATCTCAAATATAATTACCTCTCCAATAAAAAGATACATGCGTCTGGAAAACTTTTTTTTTGTTTTTACCCTATTGTGCAATCAAATGTACTCATTACTCAAATACAATTAATTGCCTGCAAGAAGATGTCCAAGTGTGGATTCCACAGGTCTACAAAAAAGAAATAGTTAAGAGGTGTGATTTGTTAAAATTTTCATATTTTATATTACTCGTTCCCGCACAAATATGAGAACTAGTTGAGGGGTTTTGTGTTGGTTGTAAAAAAGATTTTCATTAATGAAAGTAGTTTTTATTAAAGAAAATATTTTAAGAAAACCTACATATATTTATTACAAATAATTAATTTAATTAATTTTTTAAAATATTTATAAATTAGTTATTTAATTCTCATATTTAGAATCAAAAGGAATATGTATACTATGCCTTATGCATAAAAAATGTTGGTCATAACTATTTGTTCATTAAGAGTATGTTTGAAATATACGTAATTGTTTAATAATCATTATTTGAGCTCCCAAATCCCAATCTTACACTATTTAGTCAAGTATTTCCCCAAAAAGAACATAGCCTATGTTTTAATTCAAATGTGATTAGCGACAAGTCCTAAGTAATAAATTCAGCCTGTGATCCTGTGTATTATATGCAGAAGCTGCTGAGAAATAATTAAGCTGAATAGTTCATCATATTATACAAAAATATATTGATTGCAAATGACAAGAATATTTACACTTGCATTATTAAAAGGTATAAAAGAATAATGAAGATTATAATATGAACAAATGAAATTAAAAATTATTCTCAGGGGCCCAAAATCCATGAAAACCAAGAGGGAAATTCAAATGCTTTGGGATTTCTAGTCTGGCCACAACCGCATTGCCTGCTCCAATCTTCTTTGGATTTAGGATTACCAGATAACATCTCTGCATTGCAACTGCGTACTGCACAATATATAAACCCAAACCAAATGCAAAAACTCAGAATTGAAAAAATATCCCACAAAAAACAATACGACAAAAATGTTTCTAAGAGCAAAACGATTTTGTAGTAAAAATAATATAATATGAATACATGTTAGGTAAATTTGGCCTGAAAAGAATAAATGATATTTAATTTAATATATAGACTAAAGTATACGTTTGGTCCTCCAAGTTTATATCAAGTTTCAGTTTAATTTCTTGAATTTATATGGTGTATTTTTAGTCTGTTAATCTTAACACTGTTACTCTCATTTAATGAAAACCACCAAATTAGCAAATTTATATGGTGACTATACAATTAAATGCTGACAAAATATACTTAAATTTTAAAACACAAGAATGATTATATTGTACTATAATTAAAATTTATGGCATACTTTTTCAGTATTTAATTATAGAGTCATTATGTAAATTTGCTGAGTCATTATTTTTGCAATAGAAAGAGTAATGAACTAAAATACATTTTATAAATTCGAAGAAATAAACTGAAATTTAATATAAATTTAAAGAATTAAATATATACTTTAACCTTGTATATAATATATAATTTGTAGTGATGCATGGCCTTTCGTCTTGTTCATCACTACGAAGAAAATTTTCTGAAGGGAAAATCTCACCAAAAAAAAATAAAAATAAAAATTACTAAATCTCAAATCATGATTGTTTTTTATACTTTAATAAGTTTTGATCTACGTTTCACTTGCAACTAACAACACACTTTCGTAACAATTTCTCATTTGAAATTTAGAAATCTTCAGGTTCTTTAGGTGGGATTTTCCCTTTTTTTTAAAAAAAAAAGGTGCGCTTTTAAAAATAAAAGGACTAATATTATCTTTTCAAAAACAAAAAACAAAAAGTAGAAGTAGTTATATGAAAGAAATTAATTTATGAACTAACATATAAGAAATGCTTACCTCTACCACAAGCAGGTATCCATCGTCTTCTTCTTCAGCACAAGTAGTTTTGGGGACAAAGATGGGTTCACCAACAAATCTGCGACTTCCAACAGACCAAGTTTGGACGCAACCACTTGATAAATCCAACTTCACCACCGCATCAAATGGGAAATGTGGCAGTGCTTTCCTACTTCCTAATGTGGTTGCTGCATAAACATATCTGTTCTTTTTCCCGGAAAATGCTGGATTTATTACCGGAAAATCTGACGACTTTTCCCACTCTTTCACCCGCTTCACGCTGCATTCCTCGCATTTCTCATCCCCATCTAGCTTTATTGATACCTGTATTTGACCATTTCCATAATCACATTGACATTAAAAACAGGAGGAAAAAAAGTGATTTCATATTCATGTATATTTGGCTTAAATGTAAGAGTTAAATAACTAATTTACAGAGAGATAAGATACTTAAATACCCCGAAATTTTTTTTTGGCACTTATATGTCCTGTAAGTTTTATTTTGTATCATTTCTACCATAAACCATTATTCGCTCTTAAACTTAACTGTTAAATACATCAGTCAAACTGTATAATTTAATAGTCAAATTTAGCTACTGTTAACAGTTAGGGTATTTTTACTAGGGAAATAAACTTACAATATATAAAAGAGCAAAAAAAAAAAAAACTTGCAAGTGCTGGGATGCTTCTTCATGGATACTTTCAAGATATTTAAACACCTTATTTTATTTACAAATATTAAAAAAATTAATTAAGTTAGTTATTTATAAAAGAAAATTATATATGTTGATTTTTCTTAAAACACTCTTTTTAATTATTTGCATTCAGAACTATTACAGTGATCAACCCCTCGTTATATGTAAATCTATATATATGTAATTAATAGAAACGATTTGAAAACACATAAATAAAATAGTTTGAAATTTTATATTTAAAATTAAAGTAAAAAATCGAATGGAGTATGAGATAAAAGTGGAGGAGAAATCCAAATTCCTCGCATATATGCTACAATACTGGGCTTACGATACTCTAGTGGGCCCAAATATGAAAAGGGGGCTGGCCCATAAACGGGAAGTACCTGAACGAGATGAGGTAACTCGTTTTCGCCATCTTTCACATTCATAATCGAAGGGTCAAGCTTCTGTCGTTGCCAATTGTATCCTGATACAAATAACAAAAACAGCTTTTTATTGTTAAAATAAAATTTTATTTTTTTAAAAAATATATCTTCAGTTTCGCTAAACGACACAGAGTCTGTCGTTTGAGGAGCAGGCATAACAACGACATTACCGAAAAGGTTTCGGAAATTGAACCATCGGTAAGAGCAGGCGGCGGCTTGGATCTGAATGTCGAAAGTGCCCTCAGAATCACCGGAAATGACCTGAAAGGCGTTGGCCACGTGGAGGAGCCAGAGTTGAGAAGGGGCATGAATGGGAAGGGTCCAGTCTCTAGTGGAAGAAGAATTGGGGAAGCGAGGCAGCAAATAAATAGGCGATGTGGGGTGACTTGGGTTCACTGTCAGTGCTGATATCATTGGCGATACTCCACACACTGCTCCCATTGAGCCTGCCCAAATCCATCCATTTTCCAATTACTTCACCATATAAATAAATAGAGTAATACTAGAGTAGTTCCTCCTCTTTTGTTTTTAAATTTTCTTATGAATCTTGTAGGTCTTTATTATTTGAGACGTTATAATTTTCTTTAATTTTAATATCATTTTGTCCCTTTTGCCCAAAAAAAAAGAGTAAATTAACATTCAATATCCTAATATTAGTTGTTGGTAGTATCTAATATCTTAATCTTATTTATGGTAAATCCATCAATTCCAAATTTTATTTCTCAATTACATCTAACATTCTAATCTTATTTATGGTTTAAGATGCTAGATATACCATAAGCCTCTTAATATTTTTCTTCAAGCTGACAAATTCCCTTTACCAAAGCCCAGTTCACTTACAGTTTATCTTAGAGATGCAAAAATCTTTTCCAAGTTTGACCTCAAAGCAGGATTTTGGCAATTGGGTATCCACCCAGAAGATCGACCCAAAACTGCTTTCTATATTCCCAAGGTTATACCCATCTCCATATTGGTGCTGTACGTCTTATTCTTACACTCCATGGGAGAAAAAACATCCCATCTACTGCTAAAGTTGCTCTAGTCGATATTACCTATACTACCTACAGTAATGCTTTGATTGATGCTGTCCTGACTACACTTAGCAACGGTAGTGTTATCCTTACGATAAATAAAATTAAAGTACTAAACACACCTGAAAAATAGCATCGACACACTAAATGCAGCCTAAATAATAAAATTAGGATGTGAGATAAAAATAATAATAATATAATATTGAATGACATAATTAAAAAAATAATATAACATTATTAAAATAATAATAATATAATGATATAAATTTTAATTATAATTAAAAAATAATATAATGTTGGATGATATATTACCAAAATTTTAATTTAATATTATTAAGTTATTTCTACTAAATGTAGATTTTGAAAACTTTTTTTTTTGGTTACGCATGGGTATCTTATTATTAGAGGCGATCACATTCAAGATACTGTGATGTAATAAAAAAATATAGATACCTCTTATTGAAAATTTAAACCTTAGTTTATCATAATTATCGCTTTTTGTTTGTTGCTGATAAAATTGAAATAAGAAATGATGTGGGAATTACGGACCTAGCACATCGAGTTTGATGCGATTGGCAAATATAATATAGTGGGAGTCGGTGAAGGCCCAATCGTGGATCATCAACTGGTCTGGAATCTTGAACTCTTGTTTCTGTACTAACTTGAACTCCGAATCGTATTCTACAGCAACATTCCAAATCACCATAATTTATTAATTAATTCTAATTAATTAAAAAAACTAATTTAATAAATAAATAGTAACATGGAAATTATATATGGTAATTCCTACATACTTACCGCTAAATGTGAAATTGCTTCGTGGGAGAAGCATATCCTCTGCGTTGCATGACACCGTAAGCAGCCTGTTCCTGCTCTGATCCACCTTATAATGCGACAAAAGCCTCCTCGGGGGCATCTTAAACACTCCTGTGATATAGAATATGCGCTCATTAATTAATACTACTATGATTAATTACTAAGTTAAATTTTTATTAAATTATGACACGCCCCAGAAAAAAATGAATAAAATTAAATCATATACATGGTTTCTTGTAGTACAATAATTTGCTTTGATGTTAACTATTAACGTTAATACCAATATCTGCTTGGATTTTATGATGTTTTGAAGCGGCAGCATAATAATGCTTTATTCTGCAAGCTAGATTTAGATTGTTTAATTTAATACCAACAATTCAGAGCTTTTTCTTTTTTATTTTTTATTGATAATTTTTTTAAAAATTCATAAATCATTTAAATAAAACTGATAAGTAGTTCAACTGTAATTGAATCGAGGTTTATATTAAAATAATATAATTTAATTAAAATATATAAAAATATTTATTTATAACCTTAAACTGATAATATCAAAATAAATAGGTCATTAACCAATAAGTAAATAGAACATTTAGGTATAAATCACACATAATTCAACAAAATAGAAATACCAAAATACAAGTATGATTGACAAAAAATTTTTCCTTAAACTCAAAACGATGTCATTTTAAGATCCGAAAAATTCAACCTAATTAACCCATCCAAAACTATTGATTAGAAGGACCTTGAAATTGATTTATAGGTTCACTAAGTATGACTGGCTGCCCTAAATTGGTTTTAATAAACTAACTTTTATATTTAAGAGTGAAAATAGTATTATATGATTATGACTAATCTAGATTTTTTATATATAAATACTTATGAACCACTCTATCTATTAAGAAAAAAAATACAGATTAAAGATTTTCCATATTCAAAAAAACATCATCTTCTCTCACTTTCAAAGCAAGAAATTATTTCATCTCTAGACACAATTTACATCATCTTTCATTAGAAAGCACTGGAGGGCACCCCATATTTCTAATGCACAAACACAAGGAAAAGTGTAAATTGCCAAATAATGCCAAAATTGTCAACAGGGTTTTGTTGTCCAAAAGAAACAAAAACTAGGGGACAATAATAATGGTTTGTGACACCATGCTTTGATCATCCAATATAAAAAGTTGGTTATTAAATAACCCATCATGTGTGTGTGTGTATTTCTGAATATTAAAATATGCACCATATTATTGCATACTTTATGTATATAATATTTGTTTTGTCTAATGATTACAAGGAAACCACGTATCTGTCTGTGTACTACATGCCCAAAATCCAACTAGCAACTCGCACTCACATCAAACTATGCTCCTTTTGCTAAATTTTTATTATTTTCTCATCGTTTAACATCATTATCACAATTTGGCCACCCATCTCTCTATTATACATTGTATTTATAATAATCAAAGTGACAGGAATATTAAATTGCATATATATACTCTTTCAAAATCAACAATTATAAAAAGAGACCTTATTTTGAAAAATTAAAAAAGTCAATTTTTGCGCACTATGCATAAAAAAATTGTTAATGTTTGATGCAATTCAAAGTCTTCCATATGCACAGAGAGTAGCTTGCTTGTTTCTACTTCCATAATTTAATCTAGTCTTTTTTAGAAAAACATACTTAGGAAATACATATTCTATGTCCAAGTAATTAACTATAACATTACAACCGGCAATTGGAAAAAAAACTAATAAAAATTATATAACTAATTACTGTTGATAGATAGTAATGTCAAAAAACTTACATTCCTTTGGAAAAAAGCAATTGGATACAATTTGAAATCATAACTATATCCTAAACTATATTATGTGAGTAGCAATATATCGATATATAATATCAAATGATTTGATATGATTCAAATCTATAGATAGGAAGTGACACTCTTCTTACATTTTATAAACTTTGTGTGAGCATAGAGCCCACAATTAATCTAGTTTATTACTAAACGAATGATTAAAGAAGATAATATCTTCGTAAAATAATGAAATAAAATCAATTTATCTTGATTTTGTTATTTTTAATCTTTTTACAGGATGAAGTACAAATTTTTAGCTATACTTTATTGCTTTAGAAATTTTTTATTTTATTTTTATATAGTATAGAAGATACAGATCAAGAATGGGAAAAGGCAGCGTGTATCCTCTTGACTTTTGTAACTTTTCCATGATCTTTTGCGCATTTAATAATTTTGACTTGCTTATGCTTCAGTTGACACAGACCTCACTTGAAAGAAAAAAAATATTTGACACAAACACTAAGACTCACTCCCACTTAATCATCATTATCATTAACATTAATATATATCGTCACTTTAATCACTTACAGCTTCTTCTTCTTTTTTTTTTTTTTAAATTTTGCGCAACATATGGAAGCTACATCCAACTATTATAAAATAATAAAATATGCAACCATACTATTTGTATATTATATATTACCTCTGGTCTTTAATATAAGACCTCATTTGACTTTTATTTTGGTCCTAAATATAAGACTCTAATCCATTTTGTCTTTCATATTTATCTATTTTTTTTAAGATAATCCTTCTAATAATGATAGTTTTAGCTAATATACTTGATTAATAAGGATATTTTAGGAAAGACAACACCTATTTATTACAAATAACTAACTTAACTTATTTTTTTAATCTACTTAAATTAGTTAATTAGTTCTTATATTTAGGATCGGAGGTAGTATAATATAGTGCAGCTGTGTTCGCCGTACTCTCTATGCAATATATTTTTAATTTCTGTTCACATATTTTCATTAGTTTCCATGTAACTTTTTTAATTTTTTAGTCATTTCAACAACATTTAAACGATAGAAAAGTAGTATGCTTTTCAAACGCTTTTAATTATTATCTATCTTATACGTTACATAGAAAAATATTAGTTATTAGTATAAGCAATTGCCGTGCAAAGAGCTTAACATAAATTCTACTATTTATAATTTATGAATAATATAATTATATGTAAAATAGGTTTTACGTTTGAAAATCACGTTTTTGTCCAAAACAATGTGAGAGTAATTGGAAGATGACGTACCATACAAAATAGGCTTCAAGAGGCCGGCGGCGAGTTCCCATGCATCGCCATCGAGGTTGTTCTTAGCCGGCTTCGAATCATAGCCGTCCATCATGTTGAACCGTCCGACAGTATCCAACGTACCAGATTCGATCTCATAAGGATCCCCGCCTTCCCAGAAACACAGTAGTTTGTCTCCCCACCTGAGAACGCTAGTATTAGCCACATTCTTCATAACCTTAGTATTCCCAACCTTCCTCCCACCTTTCAACACGGAAAATGGGCCCCTATGAGTAAACCGCCACGTGTCAGTCTTGGGATCATGCTCCTCCACCTGAGCCTCCGTTTTCACGTACTTGGCCATATATTTCACTTTCTTACTCGCATTATCGATGCTGAACGCTCTCAAGTATCCATGACCGTCTAACGGATGCACCGTCGAGCCGTGGTCGTCGGAGAAAAGCCCCGGTCCGGTCAAATAATACGTTCCCGACGGGAAGTCGGCCGGTATCGCCCCGTCTACTGCGCGTAGAGTTACCGGTTGCGTCGTCTCTTGGCGTTGGGAAACAAATAAGAATTGGTAATCCCAAAAGGCTGCTATAGAATCATCAAGCTCTATGGTTGGAGGCACCGGCACTGGCACCGGCACCGGCATCGGGATTGAAACTCGAGTATCTGGCGTAGTTATTGATATTGCTCTGGGCACGGTGGTGGCCGGAGATAATGGAGGTTGGTTCGCCGGAGGTGATTTTGTGGAGGGAATTAGAGAAGGAGGAGGAGGAGGAGGGAATGTGACTGGTTTGGCTTGCATTTTTGGAAGAGAGTGAAGAGCTTCGTGTGTCTGTGTGTTCAGTTGGCCACATGAGGGTGGCAACAAGTCCGCCTATAAATACACGAAGACAGGATAGTTGCGATATGGAAATGCACTCCGTATATGCATTAATTACAGATTTGCCATTGAGGTGTTTGGACTTTTAGATTGATCATCTGAAGAACTAGTGTCAGATTGGATACTAAAGAATTCTCAAAAGCTGACTTTAAATATGGAAAAACTTATTATATATATATATATATAAGAGAATTTTTTTGGGGTTCTCTTTGTCTCTCTTTTTGGGTATGACTATCTAAATGAGTTAATTTCGAAAATTGTTAGCTCTAATTAGAAGTAATTCTTTTAAAGACATTTTTAACATTTACATAGACTCCAATTTGAGATCTTGTGTTTAAATGGCCCAAATCCATTTTTCTAGAACCATCGCTTGTTGGTCTCTTGGTCCTATTTATTAGAAACAATAACCCGGAAACAATAACTTCTTATCAAGAGTATTTATTAAATTTTGTTAATACCATCATTAAAAATGAGTATTTATAAATGAGAATAGGAAAAATAGCAAATAAAGACCCCCCAATAAATTAAATTATAATTTGGGACTCTTAATTTAGAAAATGACAAATAAAGACCCGATCTCATATTGTAAATATGAAATTTTAATGAAATATCTAAAATGCCCCTCGGCCAAGTGACAAGTTGACAATAGAAAATGAAAAGTTCATTTTAGCGAATGACAATTTTAGTAGACCAAATCACAATTTAGCTGAGGGTATGCCAAATGACAAGTTGATTATGAGAAATGTCAAGTTAACTTTAACGAATGACAACTTCAGTAAATCAAATCACAACTTAGCTGAGAGCATTTTAAACATTTCACTAAAATTTCATATTTACAATATGAGATTGGGTCTTTATTTGCTACTTTCCAAATTGAGGGTCTCAAATCGCAATTTCACATGTTGGGGGTTTTTATTTGTCATTTTCCCATGAGAATATGAGATAAATTATTAAAATTCACCAACTAATTATTAAATGAGAACATTTTTAGAAATAAAATTGTATTTTAAACATATTTATTAATCTAACTAACTCCACTTTTTATTTTCTCTTATGAAAAAAATCAATGAGAGTATATGACAATTTCCTTCTAATTGAGACTAAACTTAAAATTTGTCGGCAAAGGTGACAAAGGGGGGCCCGTGGATGACCCGCAAATTTCTTTTAGCTCTTAAAATTTATGTAAACTTTAATAAAGTATTATAAATCTTTTTAATTTTTAATTTCAGCCTCTCTTTGTTAAATTTTACTTCTGGTTTTAGGTACTACATGTAGTTTTGTTTAAAAGAAATGTTAAAGTGGGGTACGGCAGCATTTAAAAAATGTGGTGGACATGAAAATATGTAGTTGCAACTTAAGTGGCAGACACAAAGTGCTTCCATTTCCATTCCTTGTGCTTTTTGTACTTCTATACTTTTGGTAAAACCATAAATTACTTAATTCGAACCAAGTTTTGGTGGCCAAATATGAAATTTTTTAATCTATTTTTCTTTTCATAATTTCTAGCACACTTATAGATTGAGGAGAAAAAGTCATCATATATATGGCGGCCACAATGAGAGGTTGGTAATTATAATGAGTGAGAACAAAAATATGCAAGTTGCATTATAATGGCTAAATCATTAATTATAATATATATTATATCTCCACTCTTTTTTTAAGCTTGAGCTAGTACATTAAATGTTTTTTTTTATTTTTATGTGGAGGCCATTGTCATAATTTATAGTGTGATTATTTCAATTCATCCTACAAACAATCTTCCATTCATTTAGATACTAAATGGTTAATATCTATGCAAATCCTGTACATTTATTATTAATGTATGTGCTATATATTTATCATTATTAAACTATTTGTCATCAAAGGGCAGGTTCAAGTTTTGTGATTGAGTCCGTCGTATGAAGAAATTTGTGTACTAAGATGTGAAATGTGAGTAGAATGTCCCTCAATAGGTATATCTCTTGTCAAAAGGGCATCACATTGTAGTCTAGTGGAATGAGAGAGCTGACCAGCCTATTGGAAGAGCCAGCATGATATTTAAGTGGTACTTGGTTAGTTAATTTTCCCAATTTCTTTGTAAATTGGCAAAAGCTCTAGGAAGAGAATAAGGGAATCATTTAGAAAGATGTTATAAAGATAATCAATATTATAATTTTGAAAATGATGATATAAAAAAACAAGTAAGAACTGTGTGTGAGAGTCTAGGGTTCTCCTAGGGTTGGTAGAATCTGTCTTCTTTTGGGTTCACCATGGTGAATTGATTTGTGACGATAGCAAGGGGCTACAACAGTTCAAAATATCATTACTTATACCCCTCAGAGTACGTATTTATAAGTGTTATGGTTTAAGCGGATCACGACACAAACCTGTGGATTTAAAATTTCAACATAATTACTCAGGTTACTATTCACTATTCAAATTTTATATTACAAACCCAACTTCGAAAAATCATAACTAAATCTATAAACATCGTATTGAAGTGTTCTAAAATTCTACAGAAATCTCTTTTAATTCTCTTTAAGTAAAAAAATATTCAATTGGACTTATCCTTAGCCAATTCGTACAGTTTAATCAATAAAAATTACTATTCATTTGGTAAAATCTGAAACTTTCAGATTTCGTGCCTCAAATTTGGTAATTCGTATCTCCTTGTGTACACATCCAATTGAGGTGATCTACCTATCATTTTAAAGCTTGGGATGTGTACAACATGTCTGCCAAATTTCATGGCTTAAATCATTCATGTGGTAGGTCAAACTGGAGCTGGAAATTGACTGCTCTAGGACCTACATTTTATTCATTAGACAATTCTTGCTTTAATTTTTCTATTGTTTTGGCGTGCATAATTTGGCCCTATCCTTTCCCATTCATTCTTATTCATTTCCATTCATGCCATAAACATTCTAAACAAATACATTGCATCATTGGCATTCATATACATAATTTACACAATAGGAGAATTATACATTAACCAATAGTTTCAATCATTAACATGAATAATTCTCCATTTTTTTCTCCTTCCCTCTCATGCTCTCCTTCATGTAATCATTGTCCATCATACTTGACCTAAATGATTGGTTAGGGAGGGGTGAGATTCGGGAGAATCTCAGTAGCAAACAATAACCACCCAAACATACATGGCAAGCTTGACATTTATAACATGCTTTCAACTTAACATCTTTATAACATAATGACATGTTTGGAAATCATCATGCATTTATCATAAAACACATAGGCCTATGACATATTTCAAACACATTCACAATCACAACACATGAGTTCACAAAATCATATAACATAGAAACATGTCATACATACAAGCAAATACCAATCACATAAGAGTAAGGTCAAGTTTGCTACCTTGTGTTTTTAAACTTTCTCTTTACTTCCTCTTGCTCCTTTTGCTACCAACCATTAAGGTTGCTTGCTCTTCATCTTCCTCAATGTCTCATGACCCTAAATGCATCAACACATTATTTCTATTCATTCATTAGAGCCATAGTAACTAACAATATCAACACTTTGTTTTCTTTGAGCTATATTAGCTTCTAACTTTTGAGCTTGATTTCCAATTTTCTAAAATTAATTTCACATACTATTCCCACACAATTTTCCATGTAGAATCTATTTCCAAGCTCAAAATAATCAAAATCAAACTCCTTCCCCATGAACTAGCCTTGACCGAAATATAACTCAAGTTACATAGTCATGAAATTCAACTAATTTCAACATAAAGCCACTTGATTCTTGTTCCTTTCAAGCCTTTAAACATTATTCTAACATCAATTTCATCTCCCCCTATTCTTAAGAATTTCGTGCAGCATGTCCCCTTAGAGTTTAAGCTCCCAAAAATCATTAAAATCCATAACCAAGCTCAACAACAACAAGAGTAGTGAAAACTACATCAAAACCATGAACATACCTTGTTTTAGAGCTTGATCTTGCATGGGACCACTTGGCCTTTCTTTCTCCCTCTTCTTTCTCTCTCTAGAAACTATTTTGCCAGAGCTTCCCTAAGGTTTCCTCTAGGTTGGACGAAAATAAGGGAGGGGAGGGGGCATTTATAGAAAACAAGACTAAATCTGGCCGTTGATCTTAAAAATATGTGGCTTGATCTGGACCGTCCATTTTCTCTTTTAATCTTATGGTGACAAGTGTCCTATGACATCATGCTTACCTCATCATGATGACATTATGCTTACATCATGAAGCCACATGTTCCCAATCCATCTGTACACGTGTCTTGCATCCAACCGTACATGTTTCATCCATCTTTTCCCCATCTGACCGTACACTTGTCTCTCCATGTCCCTTCATTATTGTGGTATAAAAATAGGAAGGAAATTAATATAAAATTCGTGCAAAATATAACCTTTAGGTATTCCTCCACTTATCTTGCCATTCTACACTGTATAGGGTACTTTTTCAGGTCCTGACTTATCCGGGACCACTGGGACATGTCCTGGCACTATTTTCTCACCTCAAATAAATCCACATGGCATTATATAACACGCCTAAAGAGAGAGTGATGCTCTTCCCTTGTTCTTCTATTAAAATAATTAATAATATTTATTTCGAAGTGATTTTGACCGAATTCTTTCTACCGATCCACAATTCCAAGAATCTATCTTCGGGTACCAATACCATTTATTCATCACGAGAAATTCTTCTAATTTTTTTCAAGTCCAAAGTCAACCTCTAGACCTTTAACTTTGACTTTCTCCTGATAGTGTATAAATAGGCTTTAAGTTCCATTAAAGCCAATCTTTTCGCTTTCTGGGAATGGAATTATTTTTAAAACTTGTGATAATTCCTCAAGTATTTTCCTCCCATTTTGTCCAATTATCTGAGGCCTCCTTATACTTTAAATAATTCATTTTTGAAAATATTCCGAATCAGTCAAAACCCTGGGAATTCTGCAAATTCCTTCTAAGG